CTCATAGCAGTCCAAGGTTCCTGATATAAAGGGACAGAGGTCTTAGCTAACACCACATTCTGCAACAGAGGAATCGAGGACTAGAAAGATAAACTGTTGTGTTCACATTGCATGGCTCACTGCTGCTAAGAGCCAGCCAAAGCCTAGAATTTCTGGGTCCGCTATGTACCCTATCTTCCTGTGCCTTAGCTAGTGAGTGACCCTTCTGAAAAAGACATACCAGGTATGGTAGTGTATGCTTATAATCCCAGCACTCAGGAGGCTGAGGCAGGACTGAGATTTTGAGACCTTATCTTAAAAAGATGGGGGTGCTATAGCTTGTTCAGTAAGTTGGAGTCTACTTGACCAGGGACCCCAGGTCCCCAGCCTGATTTATTACAGATTACCTGTGAATCTGAGGGACACCCAGAAGGAAAAGCAGCCAGCTAGCTCTCCATCTTGCTTCTGAGTTCCTACTTTTGATGGTAGTGTCATGTGTGGGTGGTACATAGCGTACGTGGGAGAGCGAAAAGAAGGGCTCCAGAAGACAACTGGGAAAGTGCTAATGCTCTTCCTCCCAAAATGCTATTCACATTTGAAAAAGAAAGCATTGAGAGAATACAGGGCACCAAGGGCTTGAAACCTGAAGTGCTTTTCCTACCGGTCTGTAGTCCATCAAAAGCAGATTTTGAAAACTAAGTAAGTATGAAAGAGGTGGAAATGGAAGAGAGTTGCAGAAATGCCCAGACAAGGGTGATTCTGCTGGTTTTGGCAGGAAGCAGACTATCAAGTTATGTGTAGACAGATGAAGCTTTGGAATATTTATAGCTCTATCTAAAACTTTATCCAAAACACAACTCAAACATCAAATCAGGGCCCGTCCAAATGAGCCCTTTCCAACTTCTCCAGAGGTACTTCTTACTACATCCTACCACACACCCTAATAGCCATGCCTGTCTATTCTCTAATTACTCATTCAGTGGAGTCATTGAGCCCAACTAGTCCGAGCCAATAGGCAAATAAGTATATGGCATGTTACATGAATTAATTTCTTCATTTATTCCACTGTGCTAGCATGAGTACACCTAGAAAATGTGACTTCTTTTCCCTTCTCCCTGCCTCTAAGCCTGGCTTGCAATCTTTCCCCTTTCCAGCCCTCTGAGCTGAAGCCCTTTTCTCCAGAGCAATTTTTAGTATTTTGTTATATTTGTTTTGTTTTGTTTTGGAGGTATTGGAGATTGAACCTAGGGCCTCACACTGATCTATATTCCCAGCCCTTTTATGTTTTTCATTTTGAACTAGGGTCTTGCTAAGTTGCCCAGGCTGGGCTCAAACTTGCAATGGCTCTTCCTTCCTTAGCCACCCAGAGTGCTGAGATAAAGGCAAGCTTCACCATACTCAGCTGTCTTTGGTATTTTGTGATGGAGAATTGGAAGAACACTGGGGTGCAGGAAGAAAGGCCGTTAGAGGAGGTTGGAGGTTAAGGATGGAGGAGTTCTTTTGTTGATTTTGAGATGGGGTCTTGGGATCTCACTGTGTTGTGGAAATGGTCTCAAACTACTGGGTTCAAATGATCTTCCTACCTCAGGCTCCTGAGAGCTGGGCCTATAGAAGTATGCCATCATGCCTGTCTTGAGGAAGAGTCTTATTTTTGTTGTTTTCTTGGTGCTGGGGATTGAGTCCAGGGAGCACTGAGCTAAAATCCTCAGCCCTTTAAATTTTTTTAAATTTTGAGACAAGTTCTCACTAAGTTGCCCAGGCTGGTCTTGAGGCGGTCCTCCTACCTCAGCCTCTTGAGTAGCTTGGATTACAGATGTGCACCACTACATCTGGGAAGGAGTATTTTAAGAACTCTGGTGTATGAGAAAATACTGTCGGTGGATGAGAAAGAAATTCAGGGTACTTTTTTAAGACAATGGCTGGTGATTCTGTATTTCCTTCTAAATGTAAAGAATTACAAGCATGGGACAAGGGGTTGGCTCAGTGGTTCCACCACCTGCCTTACAAATGCAAGGGCCTAAGTTTGATCCCCATTACCACAAAAAACCAACCAAACAAACAAACAAACAAAAAAACAAAACCAAAAAAGAATTACAAGCAAAGACCTTGAAGTGTTTTTAAGATGACTATTGGTTGCACAGATGGGGTCCTCTGGACCTAGGCAGCTTTCCAGAGTTTTGTTTTGTTTTATTTTTTTGGTACTGGACTGCTGACTTTATATGCTATTTGCATTCATTCATTCATTGGACAAATATTATCAAGCAACCTGTATATGAAGTTATCATGCAAGACCCAACAAAATGGACCTGGTTCTCTGAAAGCTTGAAAATATTAAATAAAAAAAGACATTGAATTAAACTGTGATCTGGAATCTGAAGTAAAGAAACACAGTGGTATGGGGGAGAGAGAATTTGTGAACAGCTTTATGTCTTTGGAACTTATCTTGCTCTTCACACTTTAAAGTCTTTATTCATACTTTTTTTTGATAGTGTGTCCTGTCAAAATCTTAAAATTATTCTGAAAAGCTCAAATGTCACCTTCAAGATGCCATTTTAGGTCTTCCATTTAGACTATTCCCTCCTGACACATTACTCCCCAGTCTATTATAATACATGGTTCATTCTGCCAAGTAGATACCTATTGTAGAGGGACAAAGTGTTCCAGTTTTCCTGGTACTGAAGGATGTTCTGGGATGTGAGTGCTAAAACCTGGACAGCCCTGAGCGAACAGGCTGAGTTGATAGTTACCCTAGTCTGGGGACAGGTCTATATTCTTTTTAAAAAAAAATATTATTGCTATTATTATTTTTGTGATACCAGGGATTCAACCCAGGGACACTATCACTCAGCCACATCTCCAGCCCTTTTTAAATTTTGAGATGGTTTCACTAGGTTGCCAGGGCTGGGCTTGAATTTTTGATCCTCCTATTTTAGACTTCCTAGTAAGTGGGATTACAGGACTGTGCCACTATGACCAGCAATATCTTCTTTACATCCAATATTCCAGGAAGAAAGGGGCCAATCCTTCTCTCTATTCACACAATGACTTACACATAGAAATGGTGGTAATATAAACACCAACAAGAATAGATTGCACTTGAACATTTGGGATATTCCAGGCTCTCTGCAAGCTCCTTACAACAACCAAATAGGTCAGGAATTTCCCTTCCTATAGGGAAATGGAGACTAAACCAGTAAATCCAGCATTTGAGAGGGTGGGACTGAAGAGGGGCCTTTATCCACCATACTAAAACAGTGGTTCTTAGCCTTTTTTTTTTTTTATCTTAGCCTCTTTTTACACTCTCAAAAATTACTGAAGACCCTCAAAAAGTTTATGTGGGCTAAAGTATTGATAGTAACTATTAAAAATTAAAACTGAGAATTAAAAAGTATTCATTGTATTTAAACATTAATTCATATGAACATTAATAATAATACATTTTCTTTGAGATGGGATCTTCCTAGGCTGGTCTCAAACTCCTGGACTCAAGCAATCTTCTTGTCTCAGATTCCCTCGTTCTGAGACTAAAGGCACAGGGCTTTAATACACTGGGCTTTAATAATACTTTTTATTTTTATTTATTTATTTTTTTGCCAGTACTCCGGACTTCACACATGCTAGGCAAGGACTCCACCACTGAACATATCTCAAGCCTTCTTTGGAAAAAAAATTTTTGGTACCGGGAATCAAACTCAGATCCTTGTGCTTGTGAGGCAGGCGCCAGAACCACTGAGCTAAATCCCCGGCCCAGGAAAAAAATTTTTGATGGCTGGAGATGTAGCTCAGTGGTACGGTGCTTACCTAGCACACATGAAGCCCTGGGTTTAATCTCTAGCACCACATAAAAAGATAAGTAAATTTTTTTTTTTTTTTCTGAGACAGGGTTTGGCTAAATTGCTCAGGCTGGCCTGCAACCTGTCATCTTCTTACCTCAGTCTCCCCAGTTGCTGCGATTACAGTTGTGAGCCATCGAGGCTAGCAATAATTTTTTGTTTTATTTTGTTTTGATGAGACAGGATTTTGCTATGTAGTTCAGACTGGACTTGAACTCACTATGTAGCCCAGGCTGGCCTTGACTTATGAAAATTCTCTGCTTCAGCCTCCTGATTACAGGTGTGCACCACTAGACTCAGGTAATAATTCTTTTTTTTTTTTTTTTTGTACTGGGGAATTGAACTTGGGCCCATGCACTTGCGAGGCAGGCTCAGGATCCACGGGGATCGAACTCGGGACCTTGCACTTGCGAAGCCGGTGGAACCACTGAGCTAAATCCCCGGCCCAATAATTCACTTTTAAATGAAAAATACAATATTTTCCAAAACCAAAAATATGCTAACGAGAAGAATAGTAAGTCTTTTAATCTTTAGTTTACTTGAAAAACAGGTGGATTCTCACATCTAATATACTCAATCTGCTTGATGTCCCTTGTAACCTCCAGAAAACCACTTCACATTGGGGAGAGAAGGTGCAAATAACTTCTTAGGGTAGAATTATGAAAACTGTTTTGCTTTTGCAGACCCCCTGAAAAGGTTGTGGAAGCCTCCAGGAGACCCTTTGGGAAGCACTGTACTCTATGAAAACAAATGACACGTTTAGACTTTTCAGAACCTGGATGGATGGCAGGGATCAGGACAAGACATTATCTTCGGTTGGCGCAAATATTGGGTTTGATCGGTAGAACAGGTCTGGGACAATGCTGGAGACAAGAACGACAGGACAGTGAGGACAACAATCCCTTGTCTTTGGCCAAATCTTAATCTGAGAGCTCTTCCTGGGTACTCTTGGCTGAGGTCAAACTGGACTACAATTCCCCGCAGCGCTCACGGCAGGGGGCGTGCCCACAAATTGGGGCGCGTGGGTGACTCAAATTGATGACGCAAACTAGAGGGGGCGTATTTGCGGTGTTGCAATTGGAAGAGATGGAAGAAGGGGAGGAGTCAATGATCGGGTCCGCCAATGGTGTGCGGTCAGACGGACGGGAGGAACGGGGCGTGGCTAGGCTGACTGGCGGGCGCCGCGGAGCTCTAGGAACCCGGAGCCGCGCGCGAGTCTAGGGGATAGGAGAGTGGCGTCCTCGGGCCGCGGTGGCCAGAAGAGGGAGATGGCGGCGCGATGGAGCAGCGAGAATGTGGTCGTGGAGTTCCGCGACTCCCAGGTGAGCTGGAGCGAGGAACGGATGGAGCCGTCTGGGCATGCGCTCTCCGTGGTTCTCCTCCCCCCGAGGTTGCTGTAGCCCACTAGGAGCGGGGGCGGGGAGACCCCCTGTCCTGGGCTCGGGAGCTGGGCAAGGGTGACCTGGAGCTGTCAGACTTGGGCACGCTAGGGGAGAATGTGACCTTTGGGGCAGGCACTGACAGGCTTTCGGGGTTTCCCGCGGGCGACTGGGGAGAGGGGTGCGCCTGGGGGCACTGAAGCGGAGATCGTGTGCGCGTCAGTGCTTATGGAGCCTTCCCACGCCCACGGTGGCGAGCGAGTAGTCTAGTCTGTCAGGCTGGGGCTGCGCTTGGCCACTTCGGGCAAGTTGTACAACTTCTCTGAGTTTGCTGCGTGGATTTAAGCTTGTCTCACAGGATATGGGGGTTGCAAAGTGCCCGTTTCAGCGCCTAAGCGATTAAGTTACTGATGCTCTGCTAGTGGAAAATACCACATAGTGGACAGGAACGTGCACTATGAGAATTGCTAGGTTCGATTTCAGGCTCTGTTCGCTAGTCAGTTTTCTTACCTGTACAGAAGATGGTTGTACCTGCCTTGCAAGATGAGCGTGAGAATTTTGTGAAATCACAGGTTCAAAACGTGTGGCATAGTGATGGGCACTATTACACCTTAAGAAATGTTAGGATTTTTACCATTTTTGTTCTTCTTTCATTATTTCATTCTTCGGTTCATTCTTTCTTGATAGTCTTACTTTGTAGTCTGGGCTGGCCTTGAACTTGCTGTATGTCCCAGGCTGGTCTCAATTTGAGATTGTCTGCCTCATCCTCTCTAGTGCTGGAATTACAGGCATGTGTCCTCACGCCCAATGAATTTGACCATTTTTCTGTACCTTGTCTTCTGTGTGCCAGGCCTTGTGCTAAACGATTTATCTAAAATAGTTAAATTTTTAAATTCATGAAAGAACCATGTAAAGTAGGTTTTATTCCTTTATTCCAAAAAAGGGGAGGCCCGTCGCCATTTGTCTGATCCCAAGTGACTTGGCTGAGGGCTACCATAATGTGGCCGACAGGATTGGGATTTGTACGCAGGCTCTGATTCCAGAGCGCCTGTTCAGCTCATTACACTACTTTGCCACTAGTGATTAGCTCAGAACTGTTGTACAGCTGTTCCACAGTGAAGACCATGACTCCTTCTCCAGGACTTAGGGCAGTGTCTTGGTGATTCTCTTCATTTATTCAACAAGTATTTACTGAACAGCTTCTGTACGCCAGACTTTTATTTGCTCCTTCAACAAGGCTTTATTGAGCTCCCACCAGTGCGCACTAGTTGTCAGCACTTAAATTGGTTTACACTGAGGGAAACCTGGATTACTGTAAGTGGGTGCTATGGTTTCTTCTTTCTAAAACCCCATCTTGTCTTTTCACCGTAAAAATTGATGAACGGAGGAGCGACCCACCAGTCCATTCAGTGGTGCCCTCTGAAAAGTAGTCCCCATGGATAATCTGACTGGCAGCTTTTGGATTAAGGGATCCAGAAGCACTTTTCACTGTCAGCACGGTATTTCTGAGGCCTGCTCTCCCAACTGAGGTGCCAGACTCCTAGGGATAAAGAACCATATGGCTGTTACCCTTATCGTTAATTGCTTTTGTGGGGACTAGGACAGAACGAAATAATGTATCATGTATCTGAGCCTGCTAGTTTGGAAGATACTAATCTGCAAACCTTTCAATTCACACAGAAACCCAGGTAGTCTCTCACCCTTACTTCTTTATAGAGATGTAATTGAAGAGGCCTGCAGAGAGGGTGCTGACACATATATCGGGATGCTATGAAGTAGGAGCGAATAATTAAAACTAAACAGCAGTTGTCATAGTAAGAGAACAAAGTAAATTGGGTAATTTAACTGCCTTGTGGGAGTTTCTGTTTTTCTGATTTTTCTAGTTAGTTGAAAGGGTACATCTGTAGTGTAAATTAGCGTGGATTTGTGGTTGAGTCTGGTGATGATTGGGAGGGATGGCAACTCATTTTATTAACTATGTCAATGACAAAAAGTTAGAACTCCTCATACTGTCTTTCTGCAAAGGGAAGCCAGACAATAAACTTTTCAAGAAACTTCACAACTTTAAAAAGTAATTTTATAAACTAAAAAATTGAGATTTTTCAGAGAAAACCTTACTCCGAAAGGTGAAACGTTTTCTGTAGTTTTTCTTTTGTTTTGTTTTTTGGTGTTTTTTTTTTTTTTGGTATCAGGGGTCGAACTTGGGTCCTTGGGCCCACAAGGCAGGTGGTGGAACCACTGAGCTAAATCTCTGGCCCTCTATAGTTTATATAATTGTAATTTACTTTATGAAACAATGCCTTGACTCACTCTTTAACAGAAAAGAACTTGTGCAGTTGCCAAGCAACTGCTCTGAAGCGATCCCCAGAATTAGTAAGTGCTAGCATTATAAGGAAACTTTGGGGGTCCTTGGGCCCACAAGGCAGGTGGTGGAACCACTGAGCTAAATCTCTGGCCCTCTATAGTTTATATAATTGTAATTTACTTTATGAAACAATGCCTTGACTCACTGATTAACAGAAAAGAACTTGTGCAGTTGCCAAGCAACTGCTCTGAAGCGATCCCCAGAATTAGTAAGTGCTAGCATTATAAGGAAACTTTGGGGTAACCTAGAGCAACACCGTCCTGTAGAATTTTCAGTGATGATGGAAGTGGAAGTAGTGTGACTGAGGCACTGTATTTTTAATTTAATTAAATTTTAATTAATTGCCATTTAAATAGCCACTCATGGTTAGAGGCTGCAGTAATGGAAAGTGCAGAGCAGAGGCTTGAGAAGAGTGAAGATTGAATAGTTTCCTCTCTCGAGGAAAGGTAAGGAGGCAGAATGTGTAGAAATGCAATAATGGGTCAGGCGTGTGGCTTTGTTAGAGCATGTACTTGGCATTTGTGAGGCCCTAGTTCAATCTCCAGGGCCAAAAAAACAAAAACAAAAAGAAAACTCCATCATGTGACTATTATGAGTAAGACAGGAACTGTGCACCTGTAACAGACTACTCAGTGTCTCCAGTCTGTAGTTGTGGGCTATGTCCGACTTGGGTATACAAGGTAACTGAACATCTTCTGGGACAATTCTTCCTGTACTCCTGCCTCTTACCTCCCTCCAGTCCTTCCTTCAAATAGCCACATTTTTTTTTGTGTGTGTATTTGTTTGTTTGTTTGTTTTTTGAGACAGGGTCTCACTATGTAGTTGAGACTGACCTGGAACTCACTACGTAGCCCAGGCTGGTCTCAAACTCACAGCGATCCTCCTGCCTCAGCTTCCCGAATGCTGGGATTAAGGTCATGCGCCACCACGCCTGGCAGCCAGTTTTTTTTTTTTTTAATCCAGGTTTGTTGAGGTATAGTTCATATACTATAAAATCCATTTGTTTGCTTGATAAATGTATTTAGTCATGTAACCACCACTGCCATTAAGATGTGGAACATTTCCATCCCCCAGAAAATTCCCTTTGCCCTGTGCAGTCACTCCCCTTCCCTTACCCTTGGTGATTGCTGTTAGAGTTTCTCCGACAAATGGTTCATACAGTGTGTAACCTTTTTAGCTTGGTGTCTTACACTTAGTCTGGTGTTTTTTTGTGTTTCTTTTTCTTTTTTGTGCCTCACCCAGTGCTTTTGAAGTTCATTCATATTGAACATAACAGTTGGTTCCTCCCACCCTATTTTTGTGGTAGTGGGGATTGAACACAGGGCCTTCACATTGAGCTACACATCCCCAGCCCTTTTATTTAAAAAATTTTTTGAGACAGGTTTTTGTTAAATCCCTCAGTTGTCCAGGCTGGGCTCCAATTTGTGATACTTTTGCCTCAAGTTAGAGTGCTCAGATTATATTGTGCACATCGCCACATCTGGCTTCAGGTAATTTCTTATATCATACTTCCCTTCACTCACTATTGGTTTATTCTAGTATTTCTCCCCCTCCTAGGGTGAGTATGGAGGTGCTATTTTGTTGGCTCCTGTATCCCTAGTGTCTAGAGTAGTACTTGATATACAACAGATGCTCAAATATTTATTAAATGAATATATCTTGAAAGTCAGTTATTGCTTAGTAATTTTAACAGGAATTAGAAAAAAGTATCTAATCATTTTTAAGTAAACTTTCATTTTATTTTATTTTATTTATTTTTTTGAGACAGAATCTATGTAGTTCAGGCTGGCCCTGAACTCACTCTGTAGGACAGGTTGGCCTCAAACTGGCAGCACCTCTCTTGCCTTAAGCCTTCTGAGTCCTGAGACTTCAGGGGTGTGCCTTGTGTCTGGTTAAAATAAACTTTTCTTGTGGAGTAGTTTTTGATTGCTAAAAAAAAATGTGAAGGTATGAAATGGGTTGTTTGTTTGTTTGTTTAGCACCAGGAATTGAACTGGGGACCTTGCACTTGCAAGGCAAGCAGCAGAACCACTGAGCTAAATCCCGGGCTCCTGAAATATGACATTTTAAAGCTGTTTGGTCAGCTGTTTTGTACAGTTTACCTTAATTGGGGTTTGTTTATTTTTCTCATGGCTAGCCTGGGGTCATAGGTTTTGGGAGAAGACCACTGAGATAAAGAGCCTTTCTTGTCACATCGTACCAGGGGTACAGATTACAGAACATGAGCATCATTGTTGACGCTGACCTTGATCACCTGACAGGTAGTGTTTGTCAGGTTTCTCTACTGTTAGCTTGTTCTTCTTGCCCTTTTCCCATACTGTATTCTTTGGAAGGTAATCTCTAGATGTAGCCACTGCTTAAGCAGTGGGGAGTTAATCTCCTAAATTTATTTATTCAGTCATTTCTTAGATCTGGATAGACTCATAGATATTTGTTTATTTTCCATTTTCATATTTACTTATTTTATACTTTGGAATATAACCCAATATTACTTAATTTTGTTACTGATATTGTTCCGCCTTTCTCCACTAGGAGCTGTTGTCATTGGCTGTTGTGTTCCTTTGACCTTTCCCTATCA